GGTTCCTCCAGTGACATGATGGGGGCAGTAGTGAGCCTCAGAGTACTTTGGTGTTGAGTGTCCCTGAATGTCTCCGTCCAGAGTACACCACCTTCCTCTCGCTGCCCGTGAACGCCACCCAGGTCCTCGTGGTCAACACGTCTCCGCGCTTCACTCACCTGGGTGAGGTCACGGCCCGTCTGTCGTCACCGCGGAGGTCGGCTAAGGTCAGCTAAGGTCAGCTAAGGTCAGGTCTGACCCTCGGCGTGTGTGTGCGTGTGTGTGCAGCGGTGGTGGTCAACCAGCGGTACCTGGTGTCTGGACAGGGCAGAGTGTCCCTCAACGTCAGCCACCCCTCGGCCGTGGACGACAGGAGCCTCAAATACCACCTCCACCTGAGCCACGACTTCTTACCAGAGAGGGAGGAGCTGACGCTGCCTGGACCGCTGCTGGAGGACGTGGACGTACAGGTGGGGAGGGACGGGGACGGATGCATGGAGGGACGGATGCAGGGATGGATTTATGGGTGGACGGATGGATGGAGGGACGGACGGACGGATGGAGGGACGGAGACGGACAGATGGAGGGACAGATGGAGGGACGGAGACGGACGGAAGGAGGGATGGAGGGACGGATAGATGGATGGATGGATGGAGGGATGGACGGATGGACGGATGGATGGACAGAGGGACGGATGGATGGAGGGATGGACTGACGGATGAATGGATGGATGGATGGATGGACGGACGGATTAATCGATGGATTGATGGAGGGACGGATGGATGGACGGACAGATGGATGGATGGTTGGATGGATGGATTGATGCAGGGATGGATGGATGGATGGATAGATGGACGGACGGATGGATGGATGGATGGATGGATGGATGGATGGACGAATTGACGAACGGACTGATGGACAGAGGGATGGATGGACAGCTAGTTGGAAGGATGGATGCATGGATGGATGGATGGATGGATGGATGGATGGATGGATGGTTGGATGGATTGATGGAGGGACGGAGGATGGAGGAGGGACGGATGGATGGATGGATAGATGGACGGATGGACAGAGGGATAGATGGACAGCTAGTTGGAAAGATGGATGGATGCATGGATGGATGGATGGATGGACGGACGGACGGATGGATGGACGGACACATAGATGGACGGACAGATCGACAGACGGATGGACAGATAGACAGACGGATGGACAGACGGATGAACGGACGGACAGACAGACGGACGGATGGATGGCTGAATGAACGAATGGACAGATGGACAGATGGAGGGATGAACAGACAGACGGACAGACAGATGGAAATCCAGATCAGATCAAATATAAAAGTCTCTCTCATTTTTACAGGTCTACCCCAAATATGGACGAGAGTACGGAGACCAAACCAACCCTAACATCACTTACCAGTTTTATGTACCTGCCAGAAAGAGTGAGTCACCA